CTTCCTTCCTTCCTTCCTTCCTTCCTTCCTTCCTTCCTTCCTTCCTTCCTTCCTTCCTGTAGTGCTCTGCAATACAGCTGCCTTATAGTCTGTTGGCAGTATATGTTTCAATTTGTGTTAAATAGATATCATGATGTTGACTCCTCCCCATCAAATCCCTCAGTGGATCCCATGATACAAGTAGCTCTTCAGAATAATGACCAGTATTCACAACAGTTTTCATGCCAATCAAAAGTTTAAGGGATGTCTTACAAGCCCCAAATTCATGAATGATTTCACCGTGAAGGGAATCTCATATTAATTACTCTCATGTTAATTATATGCTAATAAACTGAAGTGAGTAAAGCTCTTAAAGCATGCAGATGACAACACTGCCCTGGGAAAGCTTTACCTCACTTACTGCAGCTTATCTGGGTCTATTTATTTTTAAAGAAAAACATGAATATTTAATCACAGTAGTTTTAGCCCTGTATTCCTATGCTGGAACCTGCAGAGTCCATGTGAATTTAGAAAACACATAAAGAGTTGTCACTGACCTACTTACAGAACACTGATGCAACTTCTCCTTCAGAGCATAGAAAACAAACTTCCTTACACTGTAAAACACATCATTGGTAACTCAACTTCCTAGGACTTCAGTGCAGCATTTTATGTAGAGAAATATTTGTAAAGCATTATGTTCTATAATAATACTTTCTGAAGTGGAACAAGAAGAAACAGTCTGTTGTCGTAGGGAAGGGGCAAATTTGATATTGATGAGGATAAGGGCTTTTATTAGTTACAGTCAGGGAAAATGCAGGCAACTCACTCTGCAACAGTTCCTCTTAATACCCTTAAATGGGGACTTATATCTGAGCCATTACATCACGATGATCCAGACTTTCCTTCCACAAAAGCTATCGTGTGTAAAATCCTTACAGCTGTTGTGTGACATGTAAAATGTTGGGCGGGACTGAGGTGGGACCTCCAAACTCCTGGGCACTTCAGGAGCAAACCTCAGGTGCTCTTCTTGAACAAAGCTCAGGTGTTTATATGTTTTTTTTCCTTGCCAACCCCTCGACCTGTGTACTTTGCTGTGGCACACTCACCCTCCACCACACAGACACCTGTGTGTTTGTACCCAGCAATCAGGCAATTTCTTTTGGCTGCTTCTACATGTGGTAGCATCTACACAGCATCCGCACAGCTCCCTTCTGCACTGCCTTTTCCCTCTGATTCCCCAAACACATTCTGCCCTTTAGCAGCTCTCTCCCACCCACGAGCTCCCTCTCCTCCCCTTCTCAGACACAGATGTGCATTCACACACTCTGCTTTGCTCATCCCCCTGCAATGTGTCAGCCTTGCAGTCTCCTGCATGCTGCAGGTTTCCTATCTCGCTGTGTGTTTCTGACTGGGGAAGCCAAGGAGAACTTGGGAATTAAATTCAGCACTTGGCTGTGGCCCAGCACAGCCTGTCAGGCTGCGTAAGCTGCATGCCTGCCCATGACAGCACTGATAGAAAGCCTCAGCATCAAAGGCATTCCTCATAGACACGCCTCGGCTGGAGGTACATCACTGATTTTAGTTACACTCATGAATGTTTCATACAAATCTGATATTGCCTCACTTGGATTTTCAAAAATTGCTTATCATCAGAAAATAGATGTGTGAAACAAAGATCTAGCTATTTAAGGAACACTCGTTATGTCTCTTAAAGTTCCGTGTCTTCATGGCTTTTTATGCCATCTTCGCATCTTGTACCTTACCATTCAAGCAGGCTGCCCAGAGAAGAAATGGGTGCCCCATCTCTGGAGGTGTTCAAGGCCAGGTTGGATGGGGCTCTGGGCAGCCTGAGCTGGGGGGTGGAAGCCCTGCCCACGACAGGAGGTTGGAACTGAGTGGGCTTTGAAGTTCCTTCCAACCAAACCATTCTGTGATTCTATGATTCTATGATTTCAGCTTTGGTGTTGTGAGCAGTGTGGCCAGGAATGGAAAAGAAGCTCGTGGGAAGAGTGGTGGAAGTGCCAATGTTAGAGCTACAGCTGTGTGCTTCTGAGACCAGGAAGAGAAATGGAGGCAATTACATCTATGTTAGGTAAAAACCTTACACATTTTTTCCAAAGTTTTCCCAAATATTCTTGTTTGATTCAAGAGAGACTGGAAATGCAGGCTGGAAATGCAGGCTGCTCCTTCTTTTTCCCAGATTTGCACCTTGATCTTCATAGTTGCAAGGTGCCCATGTTAAGCCTCCTTGCTCAAGTCTTGCTTTTCATATCAGCTTCATTTATTTTCTTCCTCCAACTGGGTGTACACCCCGTTGATGTAAGGTAGAAGTGATAGACTGCACTGCTGGCAGCCCTCACACATTATGGTGCCTAAAGATGTCTTATTGCAGAA